AGTTCCATTTCAGAAATGGTATGTGCTCTGCCTTCCTCCATTAGCAACCCGAAGTTTCAAGACAGCTCACACTTCATTGTGCTGGATTTCCTCAGCCCCCCTGGAAAACATTCAATGTGCACATCACATCTCTCCAGATATGATTCTCGTTCCAAGTCTGCAAGTACAAATATAGCAACATCGTGCTCTCCCCATGCGCAGTTACAAGATGTGCTGAAATGTCAGACGCTAAGCAGTACAAAAAAGCACTTTACCACCTTCTCGTTGATGCATAGTGTAACAGAGAAGGCAGAAACTGCTTTAACTTTTGCTGATGTATTAGAGCCAAATGTCCTTCTTCTTTCATATGGCAGAAGTAGAGCTATTAATGCTGCCTCAGTTTCTACAGAGCTTGCAACAGTGCCCTGGCAAGAACATAACTTGAAAACAATCTCATTTCTGCAGGACTCTGAAGACAGCTCCCTCTGCCCCAGTCGGAGGACTGCAGGAAGGTGAAGCTGGCAGAGAGGAGCAGACATGCAGGTAATCCCCCTCCTGCAGGGAGGAAGCAGGGGAGAGGCTGGAAAGCTTCCTACCACCGCAGCTATTGTCTGCCTGCTTCCTCTGGCTTATGGCTAGGGAAACCATCGGTGACGCAGCTGGTGTGGCCGAACGAGCGCAGCAGCAGTCGCAAGGCTCGGCCAACCTGTCCAGGGTCAATTCTTGACAGTCGGTGGTGCTGAGTCAGTCCAGTAAACCAGTGCAGGGTCACTGCCTGTGGTGGGCACTGCTTCTCACACTTCTAGACACGGCCGGTTGACCATATATCCTTCTGCATGTTTGCATCACCACAAAACCCAACGCAACCCAAGTTTTTGAGATATCAATGTTTTCTTTTCTCCTCCTGGATGGGAAATAGAATATTTTGACATACTGGGAATCTTCAATGTGAAAAATAAATAAATAAATACATACATCAAGTGTTTGTTCTGATAAATTTGCATTTTCTCAGGAAGTGAAGGGCCAGGGAATCACTTTGTTAATGTTTCCCATTCAGCTCAAATAATAAGGATATGACCTTGAAGAAGTCAACTGTGACCCGAACATTTTCTCATAACAGAAGTTATAATCACTACCTTACCGTGGGCCTTAAGCAATGGGACTGAGATGTTGAATACTGTCCAAAGGAGAAAATGTGTGTCTGAAGGGCAGCATCTTCTCCAAAACCAAAACTCAGTGTAAAAGGAGCTTGTCTGGGAGCTCGCATGTCCTCATACTACCTTTAGTTCTGCCCCATAAGTGACATCACCTACCTCCTCTTGGAGGAGCGTTCAGAGAGGGAATATCTGCCGTGGGTTGATGCGGTGTTATCACGGGTTGTTGACACGTGGGCTTTCACAAGGGTGTCTGTACAGCCCCCAAACTGGTCCATTGCTCCCTTCCCTCCAAGGCCATGGGCACAAATCCACTCTGTACGTTGGCCGTGCAGCTACGGCAGCTGTGGAAATCCTCAGACTGAGAAAACTGCAAGGACAAATTTGCTTGGGGTCAAATTTGAACTTCGCTGTGGGATAAGCACCAGGTTAAGCTGAACCACCTCAGAGCATCCTTTAAACAAGCAGACCTCAGTTCTTCTCTGCTGGCAGGAAGCCTCTTGACTTCAGCATATCACTTTACTCAAATACTCTCACATTTGCCTGATGTTGAAATTATAAACTGCCAGAGCAGCTAAATACAGGAACAAAATAAACTAAGTATACGAGAAATAAAAGACTATTTTGTATCTTTTCTGATTTTATTGGTAATATTTCTTTCCTTTTTGTAGAGTTCCTTGCAGAGCAGGAAAAGAAATTCTTGTTGCCAAATCGGTACTTAATCTGATGTTTCTCTTTATATATTTGTCATGTGTTCTTTCTTTCTTTCTTCTTTTTAAGGTTCCTCTGTGAATGCAAGTTCTCCACCCTGTCCTAGCCACAATATAACCCATGTAAGTGGGAACTGACCTCTTCGGTGCTCCAGGAGCGAGTCTCAAGGGATTTTTCTTCAGTATTAGGTCTCCAATACTACAAAAACTAACAAGCGCTGCCATTCAGGTCTTTCATATTCTGAGTACAAAATTTAAACTTCTTGCACCTGTATTTCTGCTGCTGGTCTCCGTGGAGATGTCAGTAACAATTTCCCCCCCGCAAAGGGAAATGCGTGACCTGTGCTGGCTGCAGCGCTTTGTACGTGGCAGCTGCATCCGAGCAGCCCCTTGTGCTGCCTGGCACGCTGTGCCTCCCCCAGCACAACATGCTGCTTACCTGGGTGCTCCAGAGAACGACTTATTTCAGTGGGTTTGGGGCCAGCTCTTCCGCCTGGAGCAGTAGACGAGTGGTGGCCTGAAAATGGAGCACAGCACAGAGAGCCCTCGAGCACTCTTCTCCATCTGGCTGCATTAAGTCCAGCTAACTTCTGCCATCTTCTGAAGGAAGGGAATAAAATTAGGATTCGCAGTTTTATGTGTGCTTTATCGAACCTGAGACATTAAATAAGCTACCACAGCCCCTTTCTCTAGTCACGCTGAGCCAGATGTTGCAGGTATCCCCAAGAAAGCTCAAGCTGTGATGTGTTACACACACTCCTCTTACTCACTTAAGGCTCTAAAACTGAGGATATGACTCATTTCTGCATTATGCAGCCATGACCATAACTCTGTACTTTATTTAGCTGTTTGTCATTTTTCTGCTATTCTCAAAAAGATCACTGAGCTTGCAGACTTTTTTTTTTAACCATTTTGACCCCTTTCTCCAATGGTCTTTTGGTTCAGCCTGACTCTGGAAGAATCTTTTATCTGATTGATTTGTTTTGTTCTGTCTCTATTTCTCTCTCATTTTGTTAAAACATTGGGGTTATTTTAATGCCGTCCCTTTAATTTCCTCAAAAGCTCTAACTTACATTTTTTTAACTATATTTAGTGGTAACAACCCTGACCTCCAGTGGTTTGCTGATGCCTATGAGTAAGGGTGTCTAGGTCATTATAATGCCCAGAGGCAGGTCGAAGCTGAAGACAAGGTAAAGGGATACCCAAGGCTGGATGAGGGAGGAGGGTGCTCTGAAGAGGCCAAGCAACAGCTGGGTGAGAACTATGGACTAGCATGGGTGGGATCTGAGCAGACACTAAAAGCAACACCTCTGGAAAGGAAGAGTACAGTATTTCTTTCTCCCTAGCAAGCCTAAGTTTGCATCGCTAAATTCAATAAGAATTTTACCATTGACTTTCATCTTTGTAAACTATGAGCCATTTTCATCACTAGCTTAATCAGAAATACTATCAAGGTGCACAGGGTATGCAAAGGGCAGATCTGGGGGTTCCTGACAAGACCTTCAGTATTGCAGCCTAATGGAAAGAAGCGCTCAATGCAGCAGTGGTGCATTTTCCTCAAATAAAATAAAAATCTCCTTCACGGGAGAGCTGTGCTTTCCCGTGGATAGTGAACTCACTTCCTTCTGCTTTGTTTATAGCTGCATGGGAGGTTTTTCCTCTTCCATTCCCTTTTCCAAGAGCAACGAGACAATAAGGCATTGTTAAATATTAAACATCCAGGTTTCTGTTTCTTTTCTTACAAAATAACAGAACTGTTAGAATTATGAAAAATGAGTTGAAAGATGGGCGAAAATGGTAAAATTCCACTCAGATTTTTATGTAAAAGAACAGAAAAGACATTCAGAAACAGTCCAAAAAATTGTTGGAAGCTCCCCCCCCCCCCAAAAAAAAAATATATATATATATATAATTTATATAATTTTTAACAAATCTGTAAGTCAGACCTTTGCTAGAAAACCTTGTACCTCAGTAAAAGTGATTTGAACAAGTCAGCTGTAACTGGGCACATGACCTAAGCATGCAGGTCACTAACAAAAAGCAGAGATGCCATTTCCAGCAGCACCAGGGAATAAAGTTTCCATCACCAAGCATGCTGATCCCTTGGACTCCTCGGAAGGGTGCCCTCCCTGGAGGGACAAGGGACCTGTGCAACCAGAGAAGGATCTGAAGTTGCCTTTGGAGAAGAGGAAGCTCTCCACAGTTTATGAAAGAAAACTGAAGGAGTCTGAGCACCCTCACACCCTGGGCAGAGCCTCTAAAGCAAGGCAAAATGGAGCTGGAATGGCTGACAGAGAACTGGGAACAAGTGCAAGCCTGGGAGCCAGCTGGAGGGGAGTGCTCAGCCAGGTAGACATCCAGCAACAAATCATTGGATGTGCAAGAGAAGGGGATTTTCTGCTATCCACAACACACTGTCTGTGGAGAGATGGCTGATGCCAAATATTTTTGTTATTTGTGTTAGCAGCAATCTGGCAAATAGCCTTAAACCCCACAGCTCCCGTCTGTGTGCATGCATACAGACTGCTGTTGTACTGCAGAAAGCGCAACCAAAGTTTGATGACATCGAGGTCAATGGATGTGATAGCTCGACCTGAAGCAAGGGACCGCATTCAGGGCCCCCTGGGCAGCTCTGAAACAAATCTTGTGATTGGCTAGGAAAACAGAAAACGTCTATTTGGTCTGCTGAGAAGAGCCAGCCCCGTGTGCGGGTGGGTGGGCAGCAGGGAGTGCCAGCAGGCACCAGGAGCTCCTGAGGATGCTCAGCTCTCCTAGGGACATGGGCATCACACCAACCTGACGGAGGCAGAAGCCCCATCTGTTGTTCCCAGCTCCCTGGGCCAGCCTTCCTGAAGCTAGGTGGATGATTGTGTCAAATCCATTTTGGCACCTGTTACTCTTCAGACAACCACAGACCACAGCTTCCTGGGCACAAGTATAAAGACTCCTAGGCAAAGGTATGCAACCCATGGGCTCAGCAGCCTCCAAGCCAAAGATGGGAGATGGTGTTAAAATAACAAAGGGCCTGTTTTAGAGGAGGCAGAGGCAGATTCTGATCAGTATTTACTGCTGTTAAACTATCAGACAGCATTGCCTTAGATTAAACTATAACTCAGTGACTTTTTCGTAAAAACAAAACAAAACAACAACTTTGAAAACGAATGGCAATGTTACCAGCAGGTTACAGGCAGAGAGATGGAATAAAAATACCCGACTGATTCAACAGTCAAACATTTGACAAGAGTGGGAACAGCCAGTGTGTGATGAAAATATTGCCACGAATATCAGCGTCAGGAAGCAGCAATGGCCAGCACTCGGCAGGCAGCCCTGAGGTCGGAGGGGCTGACGGGGAGGTGAGCAGCGGCCTCCAGAGCTGCGAAAGCGGGACAGAAACCAGCGGCGAGGCGAGGTGAGGCAGAAAACCCCGGCTCACGGCGCAGCACGCGGGAAGGAGGCAGTGCTGCCGGACACAGGGTGGGGAAAACTGCTTCCAGGGGACTGTGCAGGATCCTCAGAGAAACTGCAATGAATATGTGGTTTCATTTACATAACTGCATGTGTATAAATACATAACCACCAAAAGACCCCCCCCCACATACTTTTCATATGTAAGTAGTTGCCTTTAGGTGTGCTCTAGCCCTTCGTACACCTAAAGTGCAAGCTGCCAGGTTACACAACAAAATAACATTATTTTTCTCACTACTCTCCCTCTTTCCAATCTCATATCCTTTCTTCGTTTTTTCCTTTTATTTTTTTTCACTTCTTTCCTTCAACACCTCCTATGCCTGGCTCTCCCTACCCCCTCGATTAGCATTTCATCCCTCCACTCACTCCTGCTTCTTTCCTGCTGCTTGTGCTCCTCTCCCTCGTTCCCAGTCACTCATTTCTTTCATACCGAATTAACTCTAACCCCAGTCTATGCCTCCTGACAATCTCTGTTTTTAATTGTTGCACTAAACTGAGCTGGACATTTCAGAGAGACGTGTACATTTAAGCAGAGGACCTTTTCAAAGTCTTCGTAATTCAACTTGATTCCATGTACTTGATACAAGAGCCATATGTTCGGGGCGATCACGTATTGTTTCGCACATGTGAATACTTAGAGAACAGACGTGTCCTCGGGTATCGGTTGCTTGTGCTTTCTGAGCTGTCAATTAATTTTGTGCCATGTAATATCTCTGATACTTTGAAAGGTGCAGATTTTCTCCGTTCTTCTCAAAATGCCCTGCAAATTGAATGACTGAGGGCTCACAGGACTCAGGAGCGTTGCCTGGCCCTTCACAGGTGAGAAGGAAGCACTCGCAGGCAGCTCCCCATCGAGACCCTCAGGGTGGCAGGGCTGGAGCAGCAGCGAGCCCAGAGCCATGCTAACAGCTCCGCACAGACACCACCAGCATTTCTAAGCCTTATTGATTCCTCCCAACAAACCCACATGAAAATAAATCTGAAAATAAATCAATAAATCTGTTGCCTTCTCAGGGCAGACCCAATAATTCTTACTCAGACACAACTTTTCTGCCTCACACCCTGGCACAAAGTCTGTAAAGAAGGGAAGGAAAGAGGGAGAAAATCGTAATGGATTGTGGAAGAGGCACGTCAGAACTGACATTTCCTTTTCAGCCGTTAAAGCATAAACCAAATGTTAAAAGCCTGCCCTAGGTGCGGGTGTCCCTCGCACATCTTTGTATCAAATGTGTGCATCTCCAGGGAGAAGTGGACAGAGACTAGCGCTGATCTAAGTGGAGGGGAAAAGTTCTCACACTGATTCAATTAGGGGAGTATATGTTGTAATATAGCTTCAAGGGATAACTGAAACTTTTGGAGAGTGCTTCTTTTTTCCCCTCTCCCTTTTTCTTTCCTTTGGCTGCTGCCACATGGAGCTCATTTCACATTTCAGCTACAATGTAAGTGATACAGAAAAACACTTCTCACATTGTGTCAGATCCACTGGTGCCGAATCCACAGGCACCCTCCTCCGAGTAGTCTGAGAACACGGCCACGCACAGAGCTTCATCTCTTCTGTCCCACTCCTGCCCCACCTGGCTTTCAAGTAGGTGAGCCTCCTCCCTGACTGCTAGCTGGAACACAGCAAGGGGTGCCCATAAAATGATCCATTTCTTTCAGCTCTCTGGGGAAAAAAAGGACAAAAGTGAACTCATGACAGTTGTGCTCTGCAGCATGGTGACATGAAGCACAACATAACAAAAAAAGTACTATTAAAAAAGAAGTACTATTAAGCAAATGTGCCAATAGTGGTAGGAACCCACACCTCACACAATGAAGCTGAGCTGACTTTGTTGGTTCTGCACCAATATGTGCCAGTGAAGACACAGAGCTGCAGTCCTGGCAAGTTCTTCATGAGCGAGGCTCTCCTTCATCTGGGGTGGGCAACAGCCTGAAACCACTACAGAAATATTTCACTGGCGACTCTCAGAACCTGGGGCTACTTCACACGCTGTGTTATTGCAGCAACACCCCAGTCTTGCTCGCACTGTAAACAAATACAACAGTAGCTATAAAGATAAACCGCAACAAAATTTCCCACTCCTGGAATTCCCAATGTGATGAGAACCTTCACTCAGGAGCATCCAGCTCCCACTCCCTGCTTCAACTTGTGGGTGTTCCACAATTCGGCTCTGCTCTCCTCTTTATTCACCACTCAGGAGATAAAAAAAAAAAGGAAAAACAACTGTGGAAAACCTAGGCATGTCTGCTTGCTCACCATATGATGTTCCCCTCACTGAGGCCTGCCTGTTGCAAAATAACACGCTGCAACGTGGTCCTCAGGTGGCAGCACAGAAAGGGACGGTGGCCCCATGAAGCTGCCAAGTCTGGGCAGTCGAAGTCTCAGAGGATTCAGCTGCTGCCCGTGCCTCTGTGCTGGCAGTGGAGGTGCCACCACCACGGCTCGTCCTGCGGCAGGGACACCAGTGGAGGCACAAGGAGCAGCAGCACCCCTGTGCTCTCCCTCTGCCAGGCGTGTGCTAGAGAGGTAGGCTCATCCTGGAACCCACCCCATGGGGCTTTCTGTAGCAAACTGCTTCTTCAAATACTTGATGCATACACAGCTCCTTTTCAACCCGAAGGTGACAGCTGATAGATAAGGTGAGCATCCACCTGGGAGCTGATGAGGTGTGAGCACCTCCAGCTGTGCTAGCACCCAGCACCCGCTGCTGCTGGCAGCAAGCAGCATCTGGGCGTTAGCGAAGGAGCGTGGGGAAGGGGGTGTTCGTGTGGCCCGGGCCCTTTTATTCTATTTGCACATTTTGCAATAACAAACTTGCTCCTTCGCTCAAGATCAACAGCCCACACGCAGACTTTCCTGCTCTAAGGGTAGGAAATGAAGATTTACCACCCAAAACTTCAGCATACGAGCACAAAGCGATTCCTAAACCTGAACTACAGTGCTCAGGACTCAGTTGCAGAGGGAGGGGGTTTATGAAGGTGCAGTGCATCCGGCACACAGAGGTGCCGTGCAGGTGACAGACACCTCGGCCCGCTCACGCCGGGCGCTGCTCGGCGCCCCCCTCGCCGGCCCTCCCGACCTGCGGGGCTCGCAAGGCCCCGGTGCGCGGGGGGGACCCCGGGGGTGCACGGCACGGGCCGGGCCCGCGGGGGGGCGGCGGCGGCAGCCGGGACAGCAGCGCTGCGCGGGGCCGCGGCTCCGCCAGGGGGCAGCGCCGGGCCGGGCCGGGCTGTGCCGAGCCGTGCAGAGCTGTGCCAAGCCGTGCAGAGCCGGGCCGAGCCGTGCCGGGCCGTGCCGAGCCGGGCGAGGTGGTCGGGACCGCCGCAGGCTCCTTCCCGCCCCCTGCTCCTGTTGCTGCCGCCTCAGGCTCGCCCCCGCGGCTCCCCCGGCCCTATTTGTGCTCTGGGCTGCGGAGCATCGGGCCGGCACCCCGGTGAACTCCCCGCCTCTAATGGGAAACAGCCGAGAGCTCCACCGAATCTGTCACTTTTTAACTGGAAACATGAAAAGGGGCTAAGATAAAACAAAACAACAACAGCAAAAGTTGGAATACTGCGCTTTGATTCAGATACCGAAAAATTTTCCTCAAGGAATGGAAAAACTGATGGGAAAAAGAAAAAGGCAAGGCGAGCTCTTGCGGTGCTTGCAGCAGGCTGAGCAGACATTCCTGCCCGTAATCCCCTGACTCCCTTCCCACTCCGGGAAGGGAAAAAACCTTTCTGCGATGGCTCGCAGAGATTTGGGGACCTTGGCATGTTTAAACAAGTGGTTCCCATTTCTGCTCCCGGCCAGACTGCGAGGTCCGAGCCGGGAGCCCCGGGAAGGAGCGGGGCTGGCCGGGGGCTGCTGCCATCCTCCCCGGCACGGCGGGGAACAAGGGGCCAGCACCGCCGGGAAAAAAAGAAAAAACAAAAACAAACAAACAAAAAACCTCTGAAAAACACTGTGAAACCTCGCTGCAAACGAATGGAGGCAGGGCTGGGGCTGGCAGCCCCTAGGCTCCTGAAGCCCGGCGCCCGGAGCCCTTCCCAGCCTCGCCCGGTGCCGCCGGTTCCTGGCATTGAGCCCGGCTCGGAGCGGGGCATTTGGCTGTCCTCGGGTGGGGGACATCGCCTCCCGGAGCGGGGAACAGACGGAGCCGAGCACATCACCGCCAAGTCTGCCTCCCGTTTGTTTTTGTCTTTTTTTTTTTTCCCCCGAACATTTTGTTAAAAGCAACACCTGAAAAAAAAAAAAAAAAAAAAAAAGAAAAAGAAAAAGATGATACCTAGCGAGTGACTCCTTTCTGTTTTTTTCCCCCCTTTTGATAATTCAGGGCATTACCCCGCATGCTGGACTCGACTTCCCCCCCTGTCCTTTATTGCTTGTTTGGGTTTTCACGGAACACAACGATAGCAAGAAAAAGGGGGCTGAAAAATCACGGTTATCGTTGGGCAACGCGGGCGAACAGGCGCCGCATCTCCAAGAGCCCGGCGCTACCTTGGCTGCTGGGCTGAGCCGGCAGCGGGACCCGGAGGCAGGCTCTCGGCGAGCGTCGCTTTCCCAGCGAGCTGAAAGCTCCCCGGCAGCCTCCAAGTCAGGGACCGGCTCCCCGCCGGCTCCCACGGACAATTCCCCGCTGCTGCGCGGCTCTCGGTGCCCTCGCCGCCCCCGCCGGGAGCCAGAGGTGCCCGCATTTGTTGGGAGATGCTCTGCCGGGGGCCGGAGCGCAGGTTGCGGCGCTTTGCTCCGCTTCGCTTTCCTGGCGGCGTCAACGCCGGGCTGCCCAATTTAATCGAAAACGGTGTAAAAAGGGAAACGGGACGTTCCGCTCCGCTACCGTGTGACCGCTCCGAACGAGCTATTCGCCTTGTGTGCGAAAAAAATCCCAGAGAGAAGTCAATTAAACGAAGGGAGGTGACAAACACACGTGCCAGCAGGGCCGTGGCGTTTACACGGCTCCGCTCCGGCACCCCGAGCCTCCGCCGGTGGCGGGAGGAGGCTGCGCCCTCGGGGCGCCCCGGGGCGGCTCCAGCCCCCAAAGCGGAGCCGGCGGAGCCAGTGCTGCACCTCGAGGTCTCAGCCGAGGCTGGGTGAGCCCAGGCTTACCGAAAGGAGCCCGGCATTCGCCCTGCAACGCCCGGGGCCGCCCGGGCGCGCTCCCCTGCGCCGTGCGCTCGGGCTCCGTGTACTCGACGGCAGCCCCGGGGGAGCGGGGCCGGGGCTCGGCTTTTCGGGGCGCAGCCCGGCCTCGGTGCCCGCCGAGGCTGCGTGTGCCCGGGCTGCGGCGAGCACGCGGTTTTATCGACAGCCGGGCTCCGCTTCAGAAGCACGGAGCTCATTTGGAAGGAATTCCCACCAGCCCGGCGAGCCCTGCAGCTGCTTGTTTGGCTAATGAACCCCCGTGTGGTTTCCGAACTTAGAGGCAAAAAAGGAGAAAGATGTCCATCCGAGTAAACTATAAGTGAAAACTCATTGATTACCTCCGCCTTCCTGGCTCGGATTTGATTAATCATTTGCCATCGCGCTTTTCGAGCCACTTCTGTGTTGGTTTCCCTCCGCCTCAGTTCTGCGAGACTCTTCCAGAAGGGCGGCCGCGGTGCCGAGCCCAACACGCTGTAAACAACCACAAGAAGCAGAGCTAATGTTTTCAATACAGCTCGGGGACTAAAATAAACTCCTCGGGTTAGGCCAGCCCGAGCGATTGTTTTGGGGAGCGCTTCCCAGGCCCGCTGCTGAGCGCATCCCCGGGGGCTACCTGGGGCGGACCCCCCCGGCCGCCGCCCGCCCGCTCCCGGCGCTGGGAGCCCAGCCCGGGGGGGCCGCACCCCGGCAAGGAGGAGGCGCGGGGGCAGCGGGCACCTGGCGGCCGCCCCTTGGGCCCCCCGGCTCCGAGCCGCGGGGCTGCGGCCGCCGCTGGGGCTGCGGAGCGCCCCGGGGCCGGCCCCGGGCATCGCCCGTCGGGGCCCCGGGCGGCGGCCGGGCGGGGCGCACCGGGGCTGGCGGCGCTGCCCGCCCGTCCCCGCGGCCGTCACACACGCAGAGCGGAGATTTTTTTAAGTAACAAACGTACTTTTTATTTCTGAAACCAAAATATCGTTTTCGGCTTAACAATAGCCGGATCTCGCTGAATGAAGCCTTTGCATATTTTCCTGTTTTAATTGGTTGTATAATAAACAGTCCTGACCCCGCACTCTCTTTTCAATGAGTTCAGGGTGAAACGCGGACCATGGGACTGGAAATGACTTTTTCACGACTTAAAACACGGACAAGAATACCAGGAATCAGGCGGTATCAAACAGCCGCAGCGGCCGGGGCGGGAGGGGGCCGCAAGGTGAGAGCCGGCTGCGTCCCCCCCCCTCCCCCGCAGCTCGGCCCGGCCACGGCGACAGGGGCCGGGGCGCCCCGGGCCACCCCATTCCCGGGGGTCCTCCTCAGCTGCCCCGGCTGCAGGCAGAGGGCAGCCGTGCCGAGCCGTGCCGGGTTCTGCCGGGCCGTGCCCAGAGCGCTCCCGGCGCCCAGGGCTGTGCCACCCGCGGAGCACCGCCGGGGCTCGACGGCTGCGCCAAGGAGCGGCGGGGAAGGAGAAAGCGGCGGCCGCACAGCAGCGCCCCGGGCCCGGCACTGCCCCTGGGGCGGCCGGGGGGCGGTGGGAGCCTCGGGGAGGCTCCTTCCACGCCCGCTGCGTGCAGGGAGAAAACAGTCCCCGCTCCTCTGCTTTCATCTCTCGCCAGCGTTGCACAAATCCGGGGCCGCTCCGGCAGGGCCGGCGGCCCCGAAGGCCCCTGCCCCCGGCCCGTGGCTGCCGCCCGCCCGCGGCCTTCGTGTAACGGGGCCCGGGCCTCGCCCTGCGCGCAGAGCCGGCTCCTGCCGTCAGGCCGGCGCTCGGCCGCTTTCTTCCCGGGGCGAGGAGACGCCGTCGAGCCGCAGCCGTCCCCTCTCACCCCCCCGCGCCGAGCAAAGCCCCGGCGGCAAACCCGGCCCGGGCTCGTGGCCACGAGGCTGCTCGGCACCGGAGCCGGTTACGGCTCGGTTGGGGCCCGATCCCGCGCAGCACCGTGGCTGACCCAGGCCGGAGAGGTCCCGCCGGGAGCTGAACGGGAGCCGCGGACGCTCCGGGAGCTGCAGGACGAGCCGGGCCCCGCTCCACCGCCCAACGGCACCCGGCGAGAGCGGGCAGCCCGGCCCGGGGGCGGCGGGGCTCCCGTTCGGCTCCCGGCGGGGCTCCGGGGCTGCTTTCCCCCTCCCCGCTGCGGCGGCGCTGCCGAGGACGCGGCCCGGGTCCCGCCGCCCCCGGGGAGGCAAAGCTGGAGGCGGCGGAGCCGCGGCCGTGCCCAGGACACGGTGGCTGCTTAATAAACCACGCGGGTTTCCATCCAGCATTGCCCTTGTTTGTAACACACGGAGAACGACCGCAGAAACACCCCACGGGCGCGACGGCGGCACCGGCTGACCGCGGGCCGCGCTGGGGCCGGGGAGCTCGGGCGAACAGAGCAGGGCCCGGGCGGGACGAGCCGCCGCTGCCCGGCCCTCCCCCGGCACCCGGCAGAAAGCAGCCCGGGGCCTCCCTGGCCCGCTCCCCGCCGCTCCCCGCTCGGGAGCCCCGGGGCAAGGAGGCCGTGCCGCCCGGGGAGCCCGCCGCCCACCGCGGGTTGAAAGCGCGGCTCCCTGGCTCCTGCTACGGGCACAGCCGGCTGCCGGGCCACGCAGCGCCGGGCCGGGCTCTGTCCCTGCGGGGTCACCGCCTGGGCACGGCACCGCTCCCGGCGCCGTCCCTGGGCCCGGGACCGGCCGCACCTCGAAGCCCCCGGCGGCAGCGAGGCCGGGCGGCCCGGCGCTGCTCCTCCGGCCGTGCGGGACGCTGCGGCTCCGGAGCCCGGGCTGGGGCTGCCCCGGTCCTCCGAGCAGGGAGGCTGCAGGAGGCCCCGGGATGGAGGGCGAGCGCCGGGGGGGGGGGTCCCCGGGGTGGTGGCGACCCAGCGGCACCCCCGCATCCCCGCACCGGCCCGGCCCGGCGTCCGAGGGAGGGCCCGGGCCGGGAGAGCGCGGCGCGGCTCCGCGGCCCCGAGCAAGCGGGGCCGAAACGAAAGCGGAGCCCGGAGCCGCGCCGCGGCAGCGCCGGTGCCCCGGGCAGTGCCGTCCCGCCGCGCTCCGCCGCCTGGCAGCGGCCCCGGCCGGCTCCGACCGGCCCCGCTCCGCGCCCCGAGCCCGGCCCGCGCCTGCCGCGGCTCCGGGACGGCTCCGGGAGCGGCTCCGGGAGCGCGGAGCTCCGCCGCCTCCCGACCGAGCAGCAGCGCGGGGGAGCGGAGTGAAAGACAACGGTATCGAGAGAAAGAAAAGCGTTTTATTGGAGACTTTACAATGCTAGAAAGTACAATAAAAGTGCTAGTTCGCTCTAGAAAAGTTGGTCCCAAAATGGTACTATGCCACAGCATCTATCAGCTTACATAAACACTTATAAAATCGCTATGAACTGGCCCCTGTATTATAAACGCTATTTCTTTTCACATTAATCTATGTAAAATCGAAGGATCAAAACGTTTCAAGAAAAAGCATTCAAAAGCAGAACCTACCGAAAATCCATTTTGGGCCAGATTTGGGGTCGAAAAATACGAAGATAGTTTAAACTTTCATTATTAATAATAATATGCGCTTGGAAAAATATTCAAATTTCATAGGAAACCGTCTTTTTTTTTTTTTCTTTTTCTTTTTATAACATCAGAATATTTTTTTAGACCTGTATAAAATTACTTTTAAGACCTCAGAGGACATTGTCTCCTTTAAAAATACATCTACCGCTGCCGAAACGTTTCACGAGTGACCCTGGCGGGTTTTGTTTGTTGGCTTCTAACAACCAGCGACATCGCACTTCTCCTGCGGCTACGACAGTCCCCCCATCAGCACTATTTCGAAGAGAAGGCACAGCTCGGAAGAAGCGCAGTGTTTTTGCAGGCCGAGGAAGCAGAAAGAGAGGCCGAAGGGGAGGAGGAGGCCGAGCTCGGCGGCGCACGGCGGCGCCTAGGCCCCGGCCCCGGGACCGCCACAGCCCCGGGCGCTCCGAGCCCGAGAGCGCCGAGGCCGGCTTCGAACGGGGCAGAGAGTTGAGGGGTAGCCGGCCTGCTTGTCATCGCGCCCCCCCTCCCCAAAAGCACCGAGAAAACAAGCCCCAGGCCCCGAGGAACGAACGAACACACGGACGGACAGAGCGACAGACAGACAGACAGACAGACAGAGCGGGGAGCAGCCCGCCCGGGCTCCGCGCTTAGGCAGACGCGGAGCAGGGGGGGCTTTTCCCCAGCGCCACGCTTCGGGCACAGAGAGAGAGGAGAGGGAGGAAGAGGAGGAGGAGGAGGAGGCACACGACAGCGCACGGAACGCGGCGGGAGCGGAGCGGAGCAGGGCCGGGGCCGGGGCCGGGGCACTCTGCGGCGGCGGCCGGTCGGAGCCTCCCTAGATGTCTATGCGGGAGTGCAGGGCGCTGTGTTTGCTGTCGTGCTCCCAGTAGGAACAGTGCATCATGGACAGCTCGGCGGGCTGGCGGGCGCAGGCGAACTGCAGGCCGGCCCCGTTGGCGGCCGGGGCGGCGGGCGGCGCGGGGCTGGCGGGGCTGAGCTGCTGCGGGTGGTGGGCGTGCGGGTGGTGGTGGTGGTGGTGGCCCATGCCGTTGTAGGAGTTCACCATGCCGGGCAGCGCCATGCTCTGCACCCGCGAGTAGGGGCTGTAGGAGGCCGGGCCCGAGAGTCCTTTCACATTGACGGGGCTGACGTTCCCACCAGACATCTGGCAGGAGGCGTAGGGCATGGGCGCGGGGGGCTGCGCCAGCGGCCACGAGTTGTTCATGAAGGTGGACTGCAGGTACTTGGGCGGGGAGAGGTAGCCGTAGCTGTCGGGGCTGAAGAGGGTCTTGCCGGGCTGGAAGTGGGTCGGGGGCGGCCGGAAAGGCCGCTTCATCCTCCGCCGCCGGCGGTAGTTGCCCTTCTCGAACATGTCCTCGCAGGCGGGGTCCAGCGTCCAGTAGTTGCCCTTGCGCTCGCCGCCGCCCTCCCGGGGCACCTTGATGAAGCACTCGTTGAGGCTGAGGTTGTGGCGGATGCTGTTCTGCCAGCCCTTCTTGTTCTTCTCGTAGAAAGGGAACTTGCTGATGATGTACTGGTAGATCCCGGACAGCGTGAGCCTCTTCTCCGCGCTCTCCCGGATGGCCATGGCGATCAGGGCCACGTAGGAGTAGGGGGGCTTCTGCGACGGGTCCGGCTTCTCGGGGCCCTTGTCGGCGCCCAGCTCCTCCTTGCCCCGCTCCGGTTCCTTGCTGCCGCCGCTGTCATGAGCCAGCAGCGCCACCGCGTCCTCCTCGGCGTCCGGGTAGCTGCTCATCATGGTGCCCCGCGCCCGCCGCCCGGGGCGCGCAGCGCTGCGCGGTGCCGAGCGCTGCCGGTGCGCGCTGCGCCGAGCCCGCTGCTGGCGGCCGTCCCGTGCGGGGCTCGCCGGGACCGGGGCCGGAGCCGGGGCCGGGGCCGGGGCCGGGATGGAGATCGGGAGGCGCCTCTCGCGGCGCCGCTGCTCCGTGCAGCGCGGCGGCGGCGGCGTCCCTGCCCCCGCGGGCTCCGCTCCCCTCTGCCGCGGCGGCCGGGCTCTTTTCTGATTTGTATGGGCCCGGCCGAGTTCCGCTTTCGTCAGGAGCCCGCTCCCCTATCGCCGCCGAGCCGCTGGGCACGGCCGAGTTCACTCCGCAGTCACGGCGCCGCGCTCAGCCCCGCGCACACGCGGCCCGACGTGGCCCCGCCGAGCGCTGCGGAGCGGAGCGCGGCGGAACCGCCCCGGCCCGGCCCGGCCCGGCCCTGCCTCGCCGCCGGGGGGGCCGGGGGCCGCCGAGCGAGCCCCGCCGCCGCCGCCCGCCCTCTGCCTCCCGGGGAGCCCGGCGGGGCCCGCGGGGGGGCCGCCGCGGGGGGGCGGCGGGGAGACGCGGCGCTCGCCCCTGCCCTGCCCCTGCCCCTGCCGCGGGGCTGTCAGGGGCCAGCCGCACACGCCGCCGCCTTTATGCGTCCCGGCAGCGGGCCCCGCCGCCCGAGCGCGCCCGGGGAGCCCAGGGCGGCCGCTAGCGCTGCCCGCCGCCGGGCCCCGCCGCCCGTGTCGCGGGGGCGCCGCCCGGAGCCGCAGCGCACGGCCAGGCACCCGCCGCGCTGCCGCCTGTCCGCGCATCGCCCCCCGCTGCCCTCCTCTGCCCGCGGGCAGCGCCCCCCGAGCCGCAGAGAGGCAGCGCGAAGCGGGCCGGGCACGAGCGGTGTCCCCTAACCACAAGTGGGTAACGGGGCGGCTCTGCCCGCAGTGGCAAAGCGGGCGGGCGGGCCCGAGGGTGCTGGACAAAGGGGCCGAGGTTCCTGCTGCCCCCCCGACGGGCACGGCCGGCGGCCGGGCCGAGCCCCGCAGAGCCTTGGGGCCCCGCTCTGCCCTGCCCCGGGGTCCGCCCGCAGCCCGGCCCCGTCTCCCCGCTCGGCCGAGAACACCCCGGGGAGCCCCTGGCAGCGGCCTCGGTGGCTGCGGCCGCCGGGTCCCGGCCCCCAGCCCCGCTTCTGGCTTTCAGGAGCGCGGATGGCAGCGCAGCGCTTTCCCCCGCCCCACCCGACTTAGCGTCCCGCATCGGTTTCTGTAACCGCAGCCAAGCCCGGAGGGACGGCAGGCTCGCCAGCGCCGTGCCCGGTGCAGCCGGCGGCTCCCGACGGGGCGCGCAGAGGGCTTTGTGCACCCCCCGGACCCGGGCCCCGCCGGGAGAGGCCGCTCGGGGCGAGGGCAGCCCACGGTGCCCGAGCCTATTTTACCGGAGCAGTGTGGGTGCCCTTCGCGGGCGCTGTTACAGTCTCGGTTAAAACACCTTTCCGCACCTTCGCCTGCGGCCGTGTAGGCTGATGGCTTGCCTCACGGCGGCCGAGAAACGTGGACCCAAAACAACGAACTCCGTGCGTGTGGCCGTGGCAGCGAGGCGCGCAGAGCCGGGACGGGCGCACGAAGCCCCCTCGGCAACCCCGGGCAGAGCCCGAGCGGCCGGGACGAGGCCGGGACGAGGCCGCCCTCCTCGGCTCTCTGCCCGGCTCCCGGCGGCGAGCCCCGCGCAGGGCAGCCGGGGCCAGCTGTGCCGAGCCGTGCCGGGCCGCGCCGTGCCGGGCCCGCCGAGCTCCCCAGGGCCGGGCCGAGCTCCCCGCTGCCGGCCACCCAGGCTGCTCTCGGCGGCCTCCTCGCAGGCATTTCCGCGGCGAGAGCCGGGGCAGGTGCAACAGCACGGCCGCGTGTGTCATCACCTCCTCCAAGCGGCTCCGACCTCCCTCCGCGCTCCCAAACCGGGCGCGCAGCTCCTCCGCAGGGCCCGCTCGCTCACACAGGACATTTGACATCCAAGGGGCTTTTTTTTCCCCCCTCTCTTTTATTTTTTTTTTTCCCTTTCGGCAGCCCCACGGAGGGACATGCCGGCAGAACGGGAGCTCGCCGCCAGGCGATGCCGTCGGGCCCCCCCGGGCCGCCCCGCTGCTCCCTGTCCCGGCTGGGGCCCCGCCGCAGCAGCGCCGCTGGAGCCCGGCCCGGAGTGGGTTTTGCTGCGGCTGAGCCGGGCGCTGGGGTCTCCCCGGCCCCCAGCAATGTGGCAGCGGGAGCACTGCAAGCAGCAGGAGGGGTGGGGGGCGGCGGGCACTGGCCCGGTGATGGGGTGGGAAGGTCCCCGCGGGCTGCCCGCCGGTAACGGTGCCGGTAACGGAGCCGGGCTAACGGAGTGCAAGAGGCGGCGGCGGAGCTGCCCTCGGGGCGCGGGGAGGACGAGGGGGGGCGAGCAGCGGAGCGGGGCCACGGCGCCGGCGCCCGGTGCCCGCCCCGCTGCGGCGAGGGGCAGAGTCCAGCGGGGGTCCCTACGGGGCAGCGGGAACAGGGCTCCCGCTGCCTTCCCACGGGGGCCGAGCGGCCCCTTCCCGGTGCAGCACGGCGGGGACGGCGGCGGACAGAGCGCGGCTCAGCCCCGGCCGCGCACCGCCGCTAAGACGGCCCCCGAGGGGGGCTGCGCGCCGGGGCCTCGCCCTCCTCCTCCGGCACGGAGCCGGGCCGGGCCCCCCTCCCCGATCGGCCCCTCCGCTGTGCCCCCGGAGCCGGTGCCGAGTCCGGAGCGAAGCACGGGAGGCGGCGGGGAGCGCGGCGAGAGCCCCGCGGCCCGGCCACCCCTGCCCTGCCCCAGCCCCGCGGCGGGCAGCACGGCGGGGGCAGCGGGCACGGCCCGGGGAGAGCCCGGCAGCCCCTCCCCGCCTTTCTACTCACCCGGTGCGGGCAGCGGAGCCGATCGCTACCTGGAAGGTTTGAGGTTGGTTGGGTCGGAAACGTGGCAGACTTTGTGTCCCGAACGGTTTCTTTCTTTTCTTTTCTATTTTTTTTTTTTTTTTTCCCTCCTGGAGAGCAAACGAGCCTCCGGCGGGGAACTCCCCCGAGCGGGTCCCGGGGCAGGGCCCCTCCTGCCGCCCGCTGGGCTCCGTTTCCGCGCAGCCCCGAGCCCCAGCCCCGAGCCCCGGCCCCTTTCGGCACCGCCGCGGCAGCAGGAGCGGGGCTCGGCCGGGCTCACCGGGCTCCCGTGGCGGGGGCACGGCCGCGGGTGGGCCCCAGCCCCGAGCCCCCGGACCGGCCGCTTCCTCGGCGCGGCTGCTGCCGGAGCATCCGGGAAAGGGGAGTTACCGTGACACCGTCGCAAGCATTTCTGCCTTCTTCCCTTTCCTTTTTCTTTTTTTTTTTTTTGCTTTTTGTTTTTCCCCTTGTTCTTCTCCCAAAGCCCTTAAGATCGCTGACTCTTTATTCCCGCACCAACCTTGTGTAAAACAAGGGCACGGCGCCTCCGGGTCCCGCACCCGGCGCTGCGGAGCGCAGCGGGACGCGCAGGGGGACGCGCAGGGGGACGCGCCCCGCTCCGCCACCACCCGCTCGGCCCCGGCCTGCCGAGCCCCCGGCGGCGGCACCTGGCCCGGGGGCCGGCTCCCGGCCGGGGGACGCGGTTTGCTCGGCGGAGCCGCGGTGCCGGCCGCAGCTTTCGTTCGGAGCCCGGCGGCTGCCGCTGCCCTCGCTGCTCGCCCTCCCCGGCCGCTCCTCGGAGGCGGGTGGCGCCGGGACAAGGGGACATTCACCTGGACAGGGTCTTCTTCTGCATGAATGAGTCTCATTGTCAAACGCCCGAGCGCGTGTAGGTGCAGACACGTTCTGCAGCGCAGAATTGAGTTTCTCGTTTGTACGGCAAAGCTAAAAATTCGGGTAGCTTCGGGCTTGTTTTTACAAGCTCCCAGCCGTAGAAGGCTTTCTGTTTTTACAGGAAAAATTAGGCAGTCCATAGACCATGATGGCTGCACATCCATAATGTGAGCTTCATGAGGAACAGAATAACTTTATTATGATCCGGACTGCAATCACATTGAATAAAAGCTGATCTAACAGGGCCTGAGGGAAAAGTCACAAACGGGCTCAATTCTGCACTGCTTCCAACGGGAATTTTAGAAGGAAGGGTCTGAAGATCAGCAGAGCGGATTTTACCCTTCAGCTGACACCGCGGAGATACTTTGCACGGTCTCTTTCATTTCGAGCCTGTTCCTACTGCCTGCATATCAAAGAAATCTATCTCGTTAGAAAGGAGCCTTCAACCTTTCCCCCCTTGCGTTCCTCCTTTCCACCCCTTCTCTCCCCACTTTCCTTCCCTGCAGCATGAGCCGCAGCCCTCACTCCGGTGTGTTTGTTTATGCTCAGAGGACAGGCCCACAGGAAAACAAACGATATATTTCACTTTGTCATTTGGTAGTTTCTCCCTTTCATCTGAAAACACAGCCCGATCCAGGGAAGGTTCCTGAATTCACACAACCGGTTACATGATGAAATGCAAACAGTTTCTCGTGGTATTAAATGGCAGCCCGCAGCAGAGTTCAGGTTGGCTGTTATGGATTCACTAGTTACGGCTCTGCAGGATAATCCTGTGTTACTGCCATCCTGCCGTCAGTGGCCTACAGCAATGCTGCCGAATGCTGCAAATAAAAACAAACAAGCCAGCCTCCTCTTTTCAGACAAAGTAGAAATTATGTCTCTTTAGGAAGCTCGAAGCAAAGATCGTTTGTATCAGGCTGACAACTTCCAAAGCAAGCTGCTCTTTCTAGCACTTAGAAATCGATGCTTGTTTTTCTACAAAGCACGGGTGAAAAAAAAAAAAAAAAGGAAAAGAATAATACAAGTCCACTTATGTCCAGATCACCCAGAAGTTGCAAATTAATAGTATTGTACAACAAAATTAAAGCCAAGTCAGCCTTCTCCCACTGTTACTACAGAGACACACTGTTTAACAGACCACTGCTTTTAGGCAATCAAAAATCTGCACGCTTGTTTAGACTGTTTCAAAAATTGCAGTGTTTGATAAAGATCAAACTAGGGAAAGTGGTACAAATTTCAGATTATTTGAAAAAGGAGGCTTCAGGGAAAAATCTTCCAAACAACCTAGGGACATCAAAGAGAATTTATGCCTTCCATTATTTCTCAGAGCACGCGGGTCCCCAGCTACAGCCATGATTCCTCTCTGAACCCATGTAACCTACTCAAGCCCGTTTTCACCCCGAGCCTCAGACGTTACTGCTCTGAGGAAATGACATCTGAAATGTCATTCAGGTGGCAAGCTGAAGCTCCTAAATTCAGGAGGCAGAGCTCTGCAACATAACAACACGACTGCGCTGCTAGTTGCTGGGAGAGGAGCAGTCCCTCCCTCACCTGCTAAACCTTTGCTGACAGGAGCCCTCTTAAACACACGGCCGTGCTGGCAGAGCTGTTTGCCTCTCGCAAGCCTGAGGCTGCAACAAGCAACAGGAGCTGGCAGCCTCAGCCACGTCCACGCCGGGAGGGTTTGCTGCTGCGGTACACGGGGATAGGCGTTCTCAGGCTGGGGCTGGGGGGTTCCCGCTCCTACAGCAGACCTGGCCAGATGGGGACATGCTTTCTCATGCTTGCAGCTAGGCTAATTTTAGTATGAGAGAGTTGCTCACAATGACTCATTTGTGCTGCTGAATTCGGGCACCGTACCTGTGTGCCGAGAATTCGAGTTTTCTTTTTAGCAGCTCCGTGAGAACTTGGATGGCATGCTCAGAGCTCTCTGCCCTCTTTGTGCAGGCTCCTGCAGGGGAAGTGCTGCCCTGGGAGCAAAGCTGTATGTATGAATATGCCAACATGCTGTACAGCCTGCTTGTACACTGCGATTTTATCATCTATATTACTATGACCACGCTATTCATGTTCCTTTTCCATTTCTGAGCCACTAGAAGCAACAGGACTTAGTAAAGCTATGCAGTGATGCCCCAAGCTCTTCCGGAGTTTGCAGAATGGGCCAGGCTAGCCAGGAACAGGGTGCCTGGTTTTAACATCAGACTGCCCACAACTGACGTTTATGTCTGTGCTACCTACATTAACAACTTGTGAGTAAGTCCACAGACACACAAGCTTCTTATTGAACAGCAGCCCCAAGTGAGGCACTCGGAGATTATCTTGCTAGATGCAGAGGGCAGAGCAGCAGTGAGAAAGGACTACCAGGCACCTGGCTGCAATCACTTCCTCTTAAAAACTGGACGTGTTACACGCAGCCCATGTTTGGGAGCAGTACGTGGCGCTGCCACACTGACGTACAAGCAGCCTGCAGGAACCGGAGCCCTGAAGCCATTTCTGCTTTCTCTGCTCCCTGGTCAGAACTGGTGCACTTGACAACCTCCAGCCCCAGGCTCTAGCTGTGCCCTGCTGAGTGCATGCTACCCTTTAAAACAATCAGAAGCACAGGTAAGTTTCCTTTTAAATATAACTACCATGCTACTAAAAGATTATAAGATTTGAAATTACATAAATAGGTTTGATCTGAGAACAAGTCTGTTTTGTTGGCTCAAACCACATTCAATCTCTAGAGAATCAGGTTAAAAGTGATGTGGTGGAAGTGATTTTCTTCCTTCTGGAGGAAAGGAGTTAAGCTTTGGCCAAAATTAACTTCAGATTACATACAGTTCCCTCCAAATTTGAATGCATAACTTTAAAGCATGCTACCATTGGAAACACAGGTCGTGATGTCAGGGGATGGCGGGTCTGACCCTTGGACACCTGTAAAGCTCCTGCATTGCCCCAGCCAACCAGTGGCCTTGCAAGCACAATCCAGTCCCAAAACATTAACATTTCCTTGACAGCAAGAACAGAAACCTCGAAGAAGCTGAATATTCCAGCTTAAGCTCAGCCACCTCAGTTCTGAAAATAGAGTTTTGTCTGTGCAGTCACCCCGAGGTCCTTTTGTTTATCTCAATCTTAGTCCAACCTTTGGAGTTTGTAAACCTGAACTGGAAATCTACCAAACAAGGGAGCATGCATGACATTTCCAGCCTGTTCTGCTTTGGACCTGGCCAGAAACATCAGCATATCAGACTTGCTTGCAGTTTTCCGGCGTTTCTACTCTTGGTCACAGTGAGAGCAAGGAAATGCAGAGCAGACCAAACAACAACAACAAAATCCCAAACTTTCTTAGAATCTCAGAGGGGGCTTGGTTCAAATCCAGTTTGAGACATAGATAAAAGTTCACCCTGTTCATTTTATTACAGTTTGTTTACTTATAATTTCATTTTAACTTATTCTCCTTTCTTCACTGATTTTGTAGCTATCCCTTGCAACAAATAAAGGAGATGCAGCCATTATAGGGATACCTCTCAGAAGCTGCTAAGCCCCACAGGCGATACTAAGCATAAGTAATTCCAGCCCACGACCCGTGAGTTCAGGCCAGAGGTCCTGCTGAAGGCAGCACAGACTGGGCTGATGGTGAAGCTGGCACAGAAGGCAGGGCACAAGCCACATGCCCCTGACCCCTTTCCAGCGGTGTGCTGAGGTGCGGGGCTGGCTGTTGAGGCGCCCAGGGACGACGCTGACTGGGCAGGGGGAGTTTGAAAGGCTCAGCCCAGCTCCTTGGCCACAGCCGCTTGTGCAGGAGCTGGCCACACGTGGGTGCCCCGGGGGAGAGCAGCCCTCAGTACTTATAGGAATCACAGTGCCTGCAGGGGGGGCAGAGCATAAATATCACTTGTGTTATTTCACAACAAAATGCAACCACTGCCGAAGTAAATCTCTGTCTCGCTTCTTGCACACCCTGTTTGGTACTTAACTAGCTCCACACCATTCATCTCCACCTTCCTGGTGCCTCAGGGGGCTAATATTAAGCATGAAATAATATTATTTGCATAAGAAATCCAGCAGGCAGTGTGCCACGTGACTGAACACTGAGCCACTTCTGCTCAATGGCCTCATGTGCAGCTTAGTCCTCACAATGCCCACTACAGAAGCACGCACTGCACTGAATGTATGCTAAAATATTCAGCAGATATTTGGAATCATTTTCAAGTTCCAAAAAATTACAACTTTTTTTTTTTTTTTTTTTTTTTTTCCTCCTGTGGTTCCTTTTTAATGGGCAGGGTGAAAGGCTGGATTTTTTTAACCTTGATTTTATCTGACTTAAATAAATAGCAGAGGAAATGAAGGGGTTTGGCTGTGGGTTTTTTTATTGTATTTTTTTTAATTTTTTTTTTCCCTTCAGTGATTTGTTAGCTTTTAATGCTTTGTGTATGCTAGCATCCTTATAGAGAGCAGCACTGAAAATGTGCAGTGCCTATCAAAGAATAAATGCAGCCTTATACGTGGCTTACAATCTGATGAGGAAAAATAGGCTTAGCTTGATGCGATAAATTAATTTTTTAATGATTACAACTCTGCTTAAAGCATGAGTCTCTGTTAGTTGATGCTACAAACTGGGATAACACGTGGCTTTTAGACAGCAAGTCACATTTTGGGCACTTCAAGTATGTTACAAAGAGTGTTGTTGCTGGAAGGTAGGAGCAGAGTTTTGCTTGCTACCGGATGCTTCACTTGTCGTTTAATCTCACATTTCTCCACATGTGTTTTTTTCAGAATTAGGCAATACACAATATCGTTAAGTGTACCCGTGAATTTGTGTGTCTAAATAGTGGTCATGTTTGCTTATGCTTGGTTTGAAAATGTAGAATTCAGAGCTTGGCCATCAGACGCTTTGAAAATCAAGACTGAAGGCACTCTGGCATAGGCCTTCAAGGAAGCCACTGCTGCCACTGAAAGCAGAAAAAGAAAGAGAGAAAGTCAGCAATCATTTAATGACCCTGAAAAAAATGTTCTTGACTACCACCTGTACTGACGTGTAAAACTGCTGTCCAGATGTAAAGAGATGCAACTCCGTGTAAGAGAGGTATCTTCTCCCTGCTTGTGGGAAGATTGTGAAATGGCAGAAATGCCAGGGCTTTTTAGAAGGCTTTCAGAATAATAGGAAGTTAAATTTTGGTTCTTTTAAAGCTAAAAAAGGAATTTCCCTGTTGATCTCAAGAGCAGCAGGATTTCCCCTACTGTTTAAGACTCTTCATAGTGAAAAGGTATTTTCTGTTTCAGTCCTTCTGGTTGGGTGAGGTGTTAAGCCAGCACTGCCATGGCCTTGCAGCCATCTCACACATTTGCTAGGAATTATCAAAAGAAGAAACTACATTTTATGGCATGTTTGAAACTTATTTTTTCTAGTGAGCTATACATTTACAAACTTTTTTTTTTTTTTTTTTACAGCCAGCTTTGGAGTTAAAGAAAAAAAAAAAAAGAAAGGGCATTTGTCTTCCTTGCTTGAGTATCTATAGGGTCTTGCCTACTACATCAGAGGCACGGCAAGCACCTTAATGTTACCTGTGCAAGGACTGAGGTGAGGGACAATCATGCCTTGTTGACTTGTGATTCGTGGAGCTGCTATAAGCCTGTGTTTTGAGAAATCATTTGTTAGGAGGCTCCCCCCTTTCCAGAGAGACTGTGAGGTTTTGAATCTTTGTTCTACAAGCGATTCTTCCTTGAAGCTATTAAAACACTTTTGTTGTGAAAAAAGGAAAAAAAAAAGTTTGTTTGTTTGTTTGTTTGTTTGTTTGTTTGTTTTTTAAATAAACTACTCAACTATTTTCAGTAACAACATAATCAAAAATCCTAGTTTGGTTCCAGACTTCCATCAGAAATCCCATGAATTTTGACAAAAAGCAGAACCTCCCCACTATTCCTTTGGATGTAGGTCAGTTTCTCATGTCAGTGTTTCGGTACTGGGCTCCTGATGAGCACTGTCCCGGGTGGAAATGTGTGGTGGGCACGAGCACAGGGCTGTCCCTTGCTGCCATGGAGAGGGAGGGATTCAGCCATCAGAGAAGGTATCTCAGTGGGGCTTTAGCTCATCAGCAGATGTCAGTGCTATCTACCTGGAAGGTCCTTTTGGCAGTTTAGCCCGGTATTTTAACAACGATGTGGCTGTGCGGCTCCTGCTATAGCACCAACCAATACTTTCTGCTGGGTTAGAGGCTGCTCCCGTCTCGCAGCTGCAGTGCTTCCTGTGCAGGCAGTGGGGTTACTCAGTCACACTGGTTGTTTCCTTTCTTCCAAATTTTGATTTTTCAGTGTTTCTGAAAATTGGCAGAAAAGCTGTTTATCAGGATCACATGTCCATCATGTCAGGGCCATTGCATCACTGAGTTCCTGATGAGACCAAACGAAGGAAAAAACGGGCGAATGTAACTCTTCCTGACCTGCAGCGACCAAAACCAATCGACAAGACTGCTGTGTGCATGAATTAAGTCAGCACACTTCTGTGCCAGTCCTTCCAACAAAACAACTGTGCTGGAAGATTCAGGGAGGGTGGATGCTCCTTCTTACCTCCTTGTACCAATAATAACCGAATAGGTTCACCTCCTCTTCTTACCCCCTTTCTGAGATTTTATTTCTAGAGTCCCGTTATGCGTAGGCAGCAAGGCTTGTTTCAGTCCTTTAGTGGTTGCATTAGTCAAACACACAGCAGATGTCAGTGCATTACAAAACTTGGTTTGCGAATAATAAAAGAAGTTACAAATGAGAGTTAAACACGGAAGCAAAAATGCAGGGAACTGCAAAGTCCTGAAGCCATCGAGGGGGTCATCCCTCAGAGGCTGACACTACCCCATCGGGCACTAACTGAGGGCATTACTGCCATTTTCACAGTTTCTCCTGGTGAACCCTTCTTAGGCTTTTACCCCCCTGTTTTTTTGGGAATGGCAGCTCACGCTTTCCAGCTAGCAGGGGAGAGCGATGCCTGGGTAGTTCTCCCCCCTCTTTTGCACAATTCAGAGCGTGGCAGTGCTGCAGGGTGGAATGGAGGGAAAGGCACCGCTGCTGCTCGCTTAGCTCTGTAACTAGAGATTCCCTCCCTGCTTTAGGAAAGCCAGTCTAAGCAAAATATTTCCCTGGCCTGGGTGTCACGGCTGAAACAGAGGTGGGTCATTTCGAGTCAAGCTGCACATACCCTAAACCAGACCTCAGTGCTGCTCCTGCACCTCCCGATTTAGTTGAAGCAGCAGCAGCCCAGGAACAAAAGCGAGATCCAATTAAACGCCTCCCAGTTCCCCCAGTGCCAAGCGCGCCCTGCGAAAACAAACAGCCCCCGGCCCCCCGGAGCTGCCCGGAGCGCAGCGTGAGTGCGCAGGGACCTGCGGGCGATAAGCCGCCTTCTCAGGAAGCCAAGGACGCACACCTCAGTCCAGGGGGCTTCCTCACTTTGTACGCCCAGTTTCCCCACTCGGCTCGTATCATTGTCTGGAAGCAAAAAGCCTCAGCTATAGAAACCATCCTGCATCCAACTGCCTCTCAGGAAACCGCAGGGGGAGGTTTTTTTTTTTTTTTTTCCTTCTTCTTGGAGAAGCAAAGCGCAATGTTTATCTTTCTTATCTCAGAAAGGAAACCTATGGGAAATGCTATGCCATACTCTCCACTGTTCTCCTGTCACATAATTATAATGCATTACACAAAGCAAAATCTTTTGGAAAATCCATTGGTCTAATGACAAGATGACCCTTACTAGAAGGTACTTTCGGTTTCTTGCCTAACTCTGCAAGTCTCATCAGAGCTAAATGTTTGTATCAGGAAAACACAGTGCACCCCCAAGTGTCCCGTGGCATTAGGAGAATAATTGTTACACAAGGCAAATCTCTTTTCCCCAAGTAACAAACCTAGGCCAGATTTTTTTCGGACTTCAAAGAAAGAACACAGTAGGGCCTTTCCACTGCCAAATTGCTAAGTGGAATAAAAAATTGTGATTTTGCCATTAAATACTTGGTATAAATTCAAGAGGTTTTTAAAACAGCGATGCTATGACACTGTTGGAAAAGGGTAAGGGAAGATTTCAAAGGCTCTAAGTGGTTGCTGGAAGGAAGCGGGTGCGCCGCAGCCCTGCACCACAGTGCACAGCCTCTATGACCGCGCAAAAAGCCACTAAGCCACGTTCTCTGTGCTATTAAGGTCAGCACGGGCTGCACCAAAGTAGTATCTTCCATCAGTGTCTGGTGCCCACGCAGCATTCTGCTAACAGAATTTTCCCTTGAAGATTTAACGCAAAGCTCTCAGTATTTCTCTAAATTCCACTGCATTAGGATAAAAAAAACCCCAAAAAACAAAAAACACACACACACAAAAAACTGCAATAAATAGTTGGGAAGTCTGATGTACGACAACTTCAATGAACTTATTTTCTTAGTGAAATGCTTAATGAAAATCTGATGAGGAGGTTATCGAGACTTTATCAGCGGACAGTAATAAACCCAGCTGTTCAGCAATGCAGTAACTGCAAAAACTAAAGAGCTCAGGGCTAGGTTTCAAAGAGCCAAGCACACACAGATAGGTCCAAAAGGATATTTTAAGGAGTGCTCAGCACTCAGTTGTACCACCATGACACTGAGGAACAGACTCCAAAAATAAAATCTAAACTGTTGAGCTCTTTCCCGATTCAGCTGCTTAGTACCAGGCCTAAATGGCAACCCAAGGCCTCTGAAAGAAGGTACACGCCACACTGCTTTCCATTTCTGCAGCCTGTAGTTCTCAGGACTTCCTACACAGGCATCTCAGGAAATTACACTGAATTAAGGTTTAACATGGATTAACTAATTGGCTTCAACCCCCAACTTTTTCACAATCAAAATGCTTTCAAGTTACCTAAGTCAAAGCCTGTTTAGAGCACCTGGACTGAAAAGAACTCAGTCAGAGGATTTTAATGTCATCGGGTCCTTACCCAAGTGCAGGCCTGACTTTGAGTCTCCAAGCCCAGCGCAGAGACAGAAATCCATTTGGGACCACCAAAACAACTTCTGATGCTCAAGAGGCTTTGATCAAAGACTGCTGGAGCTGGTGGGAAAGTTCCCATTGGAACGGTTGTGGGGCTGGTCCTGTGTGAGCACAAGCCCCTGACTTGAGCCCAGCGTTAGGCCATAAGCAGGAGCCAGCAACCCTGTACCAACAGGGTTCCTACTGCAGCCTCTCCAGCCTGGGTTTCCTGATTTTCAGCTGAAAGCAGGTGAAAAATTGTATGTTTCCACCTGGTGATATCTGTGATCTGGACATTCCCTGCCTGTTCTTCTGGAATCTGTTTTGTAGGAAAACGGGCCTATTGCTACAGGTCCTTCAACAGTTGCTGAGGTCTGCTGATTTCACTACTGTCAGCTTTTTTGTATGTGTGTGTGTGTCAGAACTTTTATTTACTATAAAAATGCATCTCTCATTGCTTCTCTTTTCTCCCTTGTTCCTTAAAAAAGTGGTTTGTGTTGATTAGGGTCTATTACTTGTTGGCTGGCTTCATGTTATGGTTCCTTGTTACACCTCAACAGGAAAACCTCAATTCTTATTGCAAAATGCTGCAAAATTAAAAGCATAAGTAAGGTATATGGGAAGTAAATTATTTATTCAGACCTCAATATGTGTCATACTTGCTTGCATTAACAATGCCAATGTGCAGAAGCACACCACCAGAGCAGCGGGCAGTGAGAGGCTTCACACACTTCGGATACAGAGAGCAAAGTTTGCAGGATGTTTCTCTGAAACCTGATCACAGCACCTCTGCGCAGTCCTGAAGTCCTCCTTAGATTAAAACATAATCAACATAAATGCTGATCGCGCCTCCAGAGGAAGTCTCAGAAGCAGCTGGTTTTAACTTATGTTCCTTCACGTGGAACTGTCACCAGTACCTGAAGAATAACGAATGACATCTAGAGACCAACACGATCTAGATATTCCCTGAAGCAGTTTTTTTTTTTCCCACTTTCATTTTGAGAGTGAAGCTGTGGTGCCTTTTGCTTCCAATTACTGCTGCTCTAACTACTGTGGGAACCGTCTCACTGTCCCTCCTCCAGCAGACCTGTCCGTAAGGTGACCAGCAACCAGATCAGCCCTCTACTCACACGGAACAACAACTCCAAGACGAGATGCACATTTTGTCTGTGAGAATATTGCTTTATAATAATAATAATAAAATAATCCAGATTTACACACCCTTTAGAAACAATCACAGAAAAAGCAGATTTGTTACTGACTTGATATTCTATTTCCATTATAGCCCACTAGATACACAGGACAAATTAATTACTTAAAGCCCATTTACGGTGTAATTCAGTGAACTGAAAAAGAACCACCCCCATCCTACTATCAGATTTCATCTCTGTATTAGATTTCATCTGCCTATTCCTCATTTGAGAGCAGAGCTACGTACAGCCACCACAACTCTGGAATAAATAATAGAAATAGAAATAGAAAATGTTTGTCCGGGAGCCTGCACCTCTCAGTTACAAAAATGCTGGTTACCATACAGTTCAGCACATGAAAGATGGACTTAATACATCAAAAACCACTCTTTTACTGGCCATAGTTTCTAGCAAGACAAGCTTTTTTTTTTTTTTTTTTTTTTTTTTTAATTAAAAAAAAGCATAACCAGGTTTGAAGTTGGTAGAGAAGATATACTGCATTGCATGTATAGTCAGTAGTCTACAGAAAGATTTCACTGGAGCCTTCAAAGCATTATTAAGACAAACTGAAACAAAACAAGAGCCTCTGTAGGTTAAACA